TGTATTATTGAATGTGTAAGCAAAAACATCGATGTGCCCACTAGTCGGTCGAGAAGGCAAATATTCGGACACCGGAACGCACCCTCGTCGACCATTGTTGCGAGCCACACGCCGCTTTGTTCTTAGACAAGGCGACGCTTCTCGGAACCGCGCTATTTGCCAGGGCCCGGCGGCCCAGTCAAACAAGGGACGCTGCGATGAGCAATTTGCGTTAGCACGCTGTGGACAACATAGTCTGTGGCGTTTGGTTTTTTTTCTTGTGTATGAATTTAAATATCATTATTTTAAGGATCTTGTCACGTTTCATTTTGTTTTCTCGACTTTGTGTAAGCAAAACTAAAGTTGGCGGGAAATTTTTTGTAAAATAACAAGATCTTGTCTATTCTTATATAAAATGTATGTTAGTGCTTAATATTATGCAATGTAACAGAGTATAGGAATAATTAAAATAATACTTTGAGTATATTACACGTGATGTGTCCTTTATGGTCAGAAACAGACGAAAATATACATTAATGTAAGATAGGTATTTTATTTTTCTGAAACTTCAATCACAGCTTGTTTTAGTATTTTACTGTTGTTTTATTGTTTTATTATTATTTTTAATTTTAGGCTGTGAATTCATTTTCTTTAAGGACAAGAGAAATTGAGGCTTTTTCTTAAAGACTTGTTCTTAATGAATTTTTCACTTACGAAAACATTTTGTTTCGCAATCATATTATACATTATATTTCGTACTAAAATAATGATTGGCGTTTTTTAATTAGTAACATCTTCACTATCAGTCCGTAGACTATGTAAAGTTTTTTTGGGAACGGTTCTCTTCTTTTACCCCGCAGTTAAACGTTAACCGCAAATTACGAGAATCGTCAGAGGACTAATATATGTCGGTGAACCGCTTAACAATTATACATTTAATTTAAAATTATGCATAGACAATCGTCAAGATCTTGGCGGATTATCTGATCCTATATTTCACATCCATTCAGCAACTCCGCTATCGGGCCTTTGAAATAATTAGATGGCGACTATTTAAAAGACCGATAAAAAGAAAAGTAAAGTAACAGCCTATACATGTCCCACTGCTGGGCAAAGGCCTACTCTATACAGAGGGTATCAGGGTATAGTGCACCACGCGGTCCCACTGCGGATTGGCGGACTTCACATACTTTGGAAATATATATTTTTTAAAATATTGTTTCGGAAAATATGCAGGTTTTTTCACGATCTTTTCCTTCGCCGCGGAGCACATAATAGGTTAGCACTTTAAATTAACAATTTGTGCCGGCAATGCCGGCACCGGGGTTCGAACTCAGGTTGCTCAAGTACATTGAATTAAAGGCGAGCGCCAAGACACTGAGCTATTACGGTTACGTATGGACTAATACCAGATAATTCGGTATAAATTTTAAAAGAAATAAAATCGTCATTGCAACCCTACCAAACAAACCGTGCATCGTTGAAACTAGGCAGATGCCTCCTATTTGTCTTTACAATGCTGTTATTTGTTCGGTTATAGTTCTTGAACATTTTAGCTTTGCCGTTCTATAATCGAAGCTGTTCATTTAAATGTGACTAAATTAGCAACCATCCGAAGATAGGAATCTCTTAGTGTCCAGTTTAGGTCTAAAAGGGGTAATTAATCGTTTTAGGTAAATTCATTTTCCATTATTAGGTTACTCCCTAAGGTTTTCATAATTTTAAGGTGTTTTTCATCTGGTCTAAGTCTATAGATATAGAAGGACAAGTTAGTTCATTTGTTAGCAAGAAAAAAGAGTGTACATTGGTTCAGGAGACTAACTTACAGTTGTATGTATAATAAATATTATGTGGCTGCAATAAAATATACAATCACTGACATTTGGTATTGTTCAGAGTTAACAGAGGGTCTTCTATGTGAACCAGGGGTGACCCAAGTAGGGTACCCATAAGTAAGCAAAAATCATTATAGTATATTGCGATACCGTAAATGCTATTCATATTTTGGCGAAGCTAAATTATTTGCGTAGATTAAGGTTCGTTTCTTTAGCTATTATTCCCGCTTCTATTGTAACAGATTAAATTACATGTAGTTCTATGCACTGATCAGGGGTAACACGATCTCACCGATGTATTGTGTGGGTTGTATTTCCGTGCCTTCCCTCGTTATGGTACCCTTCATAATGATTTTGAGGTCGAGTTCGATATTAAACGTGCGGTTATTGATTTCTATTTATATACACTGGAACGCAAAAATAACGGGTTTCAGAATAATAATCGCGATATCTCCCCAAGGTCTGTGTGTATTAATAGTATCTTAAAAGTATTAAAATTTGTAGAAAAGAGTACGAAATATTTTCGCCGCTGTGGGAATCGAACCCCCGTATTCGGAAAATATCTTATAAGTAGATAAGTAATGCTTATTATACATCTGAAAAGATGGCACATTTGTAGAAGTTACAGATTAAATTCAAAATTTTAATAAAGAACAAAATTCAAATTTAGAATTGTCCGTCAAATCTGTGAATTGGCTGTCATTGCTAAAATCTCTTGGACCGCTACCACTATTCAGTTTAGTATCATATCGCCACCATATGAAGAATGCACGTGGGCTATTACTATGGTACAAGAAGCACGAAGAAGACAACGCAGTATTACTATAAAATTAGGAGTCAGTCCAAAAAGTATTCTTTTCATTCGGGCGACTGCAAGGATCATTGTAAAACCAGGAAATGGCAGGGCAAGGTTCACAACTATACAGGAAGACCGATTTATCTTTAACAGGTCCGAAACAGAATTCAAGAAATTCACAACAACAATGTGATCTCTACGACAAAGCTTTATTGGCCAAGCAAATGACTCGTAACTTCTTAGAGTATGTCGGGGACGGTTTTCTCGAGAATAGGTCCAATGGACAGACGAGGATTTTGGTGCAGGGAAATGTTTTGCGATGAGTCCAAATTATGTTTATTTACACACTATCGAGACGAAGATTAAATGTAGACCTTACTGACGACCAGGAGAACGGTATCAACACGAGTGTTTATAAAGAAATGTGCCATTCGGCTTAGTTCCAATAACGGTCTCAGTTCTAATATCTTCAGAGTCGTAAGATTTTTTTTATGTGACTAGTTACCAAGCGAGCAAGTGGTTCCAGGTGTTTAGTGAATACTGCCGCCCATGGACATCTGCCCACGGACGCGGTGTAGACCCGAGGATTGCAGATGCGTTGACAACCTTTTGAAAATTGGGCTCCGGCTACCTTACTCACCAGACGAAAAGTATTATACTTCTAATTTACGCCGGTTTTCTGTGAGGTCGTGGTACTTATCCGGACGAGCCTGCCTATTCGTGCAACAGCCGAGGCTGCTGCGTGGCCCTACCACAGTTAACTGATCTCTGACGGTTATCTGATACGTAAAGATTTTATATGAGCTGCTGACCGTTTCTATTCAAGATGTCGATATGCTTTTATGGAATGGGATTAAGAACTTTAAACAAACTTGTGTCTACGGCCTTCTAAACTACACTTCAGTTCCAGAGATGTCGCTACGAATCGCCATTTTATAGAAAACTTAATTGTCTATAAGTATTATTTACTTTATTACTAATATTCAAGCATGGAATTTACAGTAAATAAATAACACATCTCTATTTTGATACAACATATAAACCATACGTCTATTTAAACATTATAAGATTTTAAATGTAAGAAGACTTTATGACAAAAATATCCCTTAATATTCATGGTGAATTAAAACTAATAAGGATTTTAAAGATATCGATAAAAACATAACATGGCACTGCAGGAGTCAAGTTGCTTTTTTTTTCTTCTTTACTGTACATCTTATAATGCAACCAAAGAATTAAGAAAGTTGACAAAGAAATGTATGTTTAAATATGAAGTGCGTACAGATTTCACTTTTAACCTAATGTACCGAAGAAGCACGCTGTTTGAATAACAAATTAATAATTCGTTAATCATGGTACTAGTATACAGAATTGACACTGCAAATAGTGTTATTTCTTAGAATTTATATATAAAGAAATGTTACTAATTACGTCTCTAGTAAAAACCTAATATTACTGTTCTAAAAAACTTTATGTAATAGCAGAGACAGTGTGTTAATGATTATTTAAATTAAGTTTATAAATACTATTATATTTTAATTGCTTTCCCTTTAATATTTACAACAATTATGTTTAGTTATTGGATAAACAGTACCTAGTCCAAAGTTTAACTTTGTTAGGTCAGAGACATCGGTTCAGTATGTTGAATGTAACTTCGCTAATAAATTGTAGATGGCGCCACATGTAGCAACTTAAAAACTTGCAAGTTGCTTTGTTTTAGTAAGTGAAGAAATAAAACTCGACAAGGTAAGAAACAGAAAAATTCCAAGAATGAAACAACTTAAATATAATGTGGAAGTAAATATATTCAGAAAATATTAACCGTAATCGACTCGATTTTGTCAGTAAAAAAGTATAGACACGCTATCAATTAGTAAAAATTACAATATTGTCTAACCAATTTTTATAATTGATCTCTCTTATGTATAGTTTATTATTGCTTTATACAATATCGTATCGAGTACAACATTCGATAACAAAGACATTACAATAGATAACTATCTAAATACTTAGGAATAAGCCAGCGCGGCCACTCGATCAACCTCGTACACGTAAACACTTAATTTAGATATAATAATAATTACATATCACAATGAGACGTCCCTTCAACGTTATTCACTCGCACACGAATAATACAAAAAAATATTCAAAAAAGGCACGAGATCCACCTACATCTACGACTAAATGTAAACATGCCCTAAAAATGTTATACTAAATGCTCGCGCGTCGGCGCGCCTCAGTCGAGTTGCGTTTGGGGGTTACGAACTAACATAATTTCGTATCAGCGTTAGGTTTTAAAGCGGTCCTGGAAAACAATGACTGGCACCCGCGTGGGCCCAGCTAATGGAATGTCGGCGTGCAGGGCCGGCTCTTTGTGTGCCGACGCACTACACCGTTCCCTTGCCCTCGAATTTCTCAGCTAGCTCGGCCATCAGCTCCTTGTAGATCAGCGGGTCGATGTTCTTCCCTAGCTGGTAGAGCACGAACCAGTCGCCGATCTGGAGCTTGCGGGCGACCGCCTCAACTTGGTCCTGGGGTGCGAGGCGGCTGCGCGCACGGAGAAGGTATAAGCGGACACGCGGCCCCGCCACCACGGCCGCGCGGTAGATCAGCGATATGGCGCTCAGGATTGACAGTATCACGAACCAGAACCATAGGAACACGTAAATCTTCTCGTTGACGATGTTCAGCGGCAGCACACAGAGCCCGTCGAACTTCTGCACGGTGCCGGAGGGACCGTATTTGTGGAAGGTGCATTTGGTCACCTTGGGGAACACCCGCGCCATGGGGTCCTCGCGCTCCTCGGGCTCCATCTCGGTGAAGCGCACCACGTCGCGGCCGTACGTGGAGAACTCGCCGTCGAGGAAGAAGTCCATGAAGTATATTTGGCCCACCACGTTAATGAAATTCAACACTTCACAGATGAAGAAACGGAACGCGTAGAAGTTCTGCGTGTGCAAATTCGTGTGGAAGTAGTCGACGAGGAGCTTCTTGCGGTCCTTCTTGCACTCCTCGCCGACTACGGGGCAGTTCAGGTCGAGCACGAGCATCTTGACGCGGCCGCCCTCCCAAGTCTTCCAGAGGTAGCGGGGCACGTAGAACAGTATGGCTTGGAAGAACAACACGAAACACACCCACTGGTAGTACTTGTGGTACTTGACCTCGTCCTGGCCGTCGACGTGCGACGCCACGCCGGGCTGCACCATATCCTTGCCGACTCGGCCCACGAGCCGGTTAGGTATGGTGAAGGTCGAGTAGATCCAGCAGTAGGTGTCCATCACGGCGTACGGTATCTCGTCGACGATGCAGTCGATGGGGTCCCCGATGTACTGCCGCGAGGTGACCAGCAGAGAGAACGCGATCAGGATGATCACGGTGGCCTTGTAGTGCAGGCGGAACACATTGTTGTCGATGCAAACGGAGTCGAGCTTGAGTAGGCCCTTGACGGAGCCGAAAACGTCAAACATGGCGGGCGTCTGGCCGCGGGCGCGCGGCGCGTCGGTCGCGGTCGGTTTGGGAACGGGCGTGCGCTTCGCCCTCGCGTCGAGTGCGGAATGCGCGCGGCGCGGGACGAGTGCTCCGAGGGGGGCGGCGGCGACGGCGTGCGGCACCCCGCCCCCTCGCCCCTCCCCCTCACCGCGCGCCCCCTCCGCTCCGCCGCAGTCTCGGATCAACGACACAGCACTGACCCTATTTCCACCTATATTGGTGGCGTCATGTGGTAGCCCGAGCGGCCAGGGGCTACGTCCCAAAACAGGCGCCGAATCGCGGCCGGCCAATGTTACAATTGAACGACCACTTATCTATGGATTGCATCATTGCCCAAGCCGGTGAAACGTTAATGCACGACGCAACGCTCCTCTCCGGTCCAATTGAAACGCGGTCGATCGCCGTTTCCGCGACTCGAGATTATGCACCGCCACGTGGTTTACTTCTTTAGATAATACTAATAGAACCGAATCAGGTCAATTATGAATGCCACGAATACAAACGCACCAACGAATACCGTTATATACGGTCAGAAGCGTTGGACTTGTAAAGTTTTTGGCTAAACATCGCGTTTAGTCGCAACAGGATGACTCCGGCGGTGAAATTGTTTACAAAGCACCATTGTTAGGGGCGACGCAGGTAACCGAGTAGAGCACACAGTAATAATTCTACGCCAGACAAGGACAAGTTTAGAAATGAAACAGGATGGTTTTCATAATACAACAAAAACTAATGTAGACGGGGTTAAAAGGTTTATATTTTCAATTTATTTACTCCACCACGAGGCTACTTTTAATGTAGTCAATGTAAATTCCTTGTTAATGCTTGATACATGAGACGTATATCAATACAATGAAAATTTCGACATACCCGCTTCACTATTTCTTATATTCGATGAAGGTGTGAAGTATCATTCGTTTTTCGTTTCATTATTGACATCCTCTCGATTAAAACAGAAATTTATGAAAACGTAACTCACGTAAGAATTTGCACAACCAGGGACGCGATAACTGAATGCAAACGAAATTGTTAACAATTTCCGTATCTCAAAGGCGAAAATCGTTTGCACGACTGCTTATCAGTCTTAAATGTCAATAATTACAAACAATTTTATCTAACTGACCCTAAATGTCAAGTTGAAACAAATTGAATAAGATCTATTATAATATTGGGTGCATTGTGGTGTTCATTTATTTTCAGTAAATTTTTAACGTAATCTTGTATCTGATGAGTCAAGCAAATATAACAAGATGACGGTTGAAAATTTTAAATTAATTTCAAGAATTAGAAAGCGATGTTACATCAGCAAAGCATCTCCGAGCGTCTATTACCTGGAAATGAGAAGCAAGAATAAAAGTGCATGATTGCATTAATCAACTTGGCTGGTGTTATGAAGTTCTAAAAAAGTGGCCAAGTGCGAGTCGGACTCGATTTCGAAAGGTAACATACTATTATATCTATGAAAACGGCAAAAAAATCATGTCTGTTAAGTTTTATTATGTTTTTTAGTATTTGTTGTTATAGCGACAACAGAAATGTATCATCCGTGAAAATTTTAACAGTTTTACGTTTCAGTTTATGAAATACTGTCTGGTGACAGACGGACAGACAGACAGACAGAGGAGTCTTAGTAATAGAATCATGTTTACCCTTTGGGTACGGATCACTAAAAATAGTAAGCACTAAGCAAAATAATCAGTGATAAGAAATTTTCAAACATGTGTAGCTAAATAATTAGTTCAACAACTAAGCCCAACTTGCTCGAAACCGTTGCAGCTCATTAAGAATGTTAGTAACCGAAAAAGAAGTAAGAAAGGAATTAAAAATTTTATTCAGTCATTTCTTTTGTTACTTTTATCTAAAAATAAAAAGCTAATGTTGGCTCTAATTAATTTATCATAATTTACTTCTGGAAAAATAACTGGTTACATGGGTTTACCTTAAAAACTTTCATAAGAAAGGCTTTTCCACTAATCGTTTCACCATTTAAAGTTCGAACTAATCTTGGAATACGTTAGCAGACGAGCTGAGATTATTAATTACAAGATGGCGCCTGACATTCACGATAGACGCTACTAATGGATCTTCGGAGCGATACAAGCTGTGTTGAGCAACATTCGTTTTTAGCATCGGGCTGTCGTTAAAGTTATTGTTTACTTGAACGTATAAAATATCAGCCAGTTCTATTACAAACATTAATCTTAGTGTTTGTCCGAAATTCATTAGTTAATGTTCCTCTCTTTTTAGTATATTCATAGGAACAATTATTTTAATTAGTTTCGTTATTAAGTAACCTTAATTATAATTTACATTATATGTACGTATCGGATGAGTATATTTACGTATTTTTTTATGGCGGTATAAGTATGTGTTTATATCTTTTTTTGGGGAGTTTAGATAAATAGTTATATTGGACGGAAAACAGAACTTGAAATATTAAGATATTTTGAACATACATACAAAGCAAATTACGGTCGTCCAGTGACATAGAATAACTAATGATAACGTTAAGCGTTCAGTTAAAGACAACGGTTAAATAATATCTAGTTAATTATGTCCGAATGAATTACAAAATGTTATAATCTAACAAGTTCGTGACAATAAATTGTTGATGAAAAAGAATATTGCTTCTAATAGCCGTGTCATCACAATCAGTAAGTACATTCAATCACGATCACTTTGTAAAAGATTCTTTCAAGCGAATAACTATTAGTATCTATGTTTTGACGGTAGTTAACAATTGTTGCGTGCAAAATACTTATTTTTTCTTTGTCGAGAACTTTGTATTGTGAATGTTTTTGATTTTACACTATAATTTGGAATTGTCGATGACTATTACGCATATATCTCTTGATTTGTTAACTGTTCTGTGTGTTTCAATTGCTTATTCTTATCACTATTAAAGGCCTCAAAGTCTACCTGAAAATACTGGCAGCTTCCGTTGTTGCACTTATAAGTAGATTATTCTGAGAAGTGCCACAGCTTTGCTGCAGACCGGAACGAATTGGTTGTTATAGTTTTGCCTCACCTATGACGAGTGAGCTAACAGGAGCCCATTCTTTTGAAGTGTGGCAAGGCATTTTAAACTCAAAGGTTGTTTTAGGTCTCTAATTTAGGAAAGGAGAACCGCCTGCTCGCTTGCTAGATTTTCTCTGAAGCCGGCACAACGGATCTTTCTATTCTTTGTCTTTGACTATTTCTTTGCATGCAGCACAAACGTCGAAAGCGCTTCGGTTGAATGCCGGTGGGAGAACATCAGCAATAAAGAGATGAAAGTTTTTGAATAAGAAGACGTTTTACAAACATAAATTTCACGCGGATAAACAGCCCAATGCGAAACAACTATCTGTAGGTCGCACAAATACTGCCGTCATACGGAAAAAAGACGTATATGACATTTTTCCTAAACATGAGTTATTTACACATTGCGAATCAGTACAGAAGAGCCAATACAATAACTTATTTTCGGAAAAAAATGTCATATGCGTCTTTTATCCGTGTGACGATAGAATATTTGTCCCCTGTGGGAATCTCACCCACGACCCTCGATGCCGAAGACAATACCTTGGTAAATGCGCCACGGAAGGAATCCTGATTGGCGCTGTTCTTGATTGATTGACTTCGGTGCGGTGGATTGCAGATTCGATTTCCACCAATGGAAATTATTTGTATGGTCTATATGTAAATGTCACGGATCTTGGTGTGGGTCCTAATTTATACACATAAATTAAACAAGGAACGCGTTTACGGCACAAGATTATCTTATCATATTCAATAACGATATATTTTTTTGAAAAATTAACAATGTCTACACGTAGATTAGGCAAAGTTATTCTCATTGCTTATCACGAGCCCGTCTTAGTCGTTAACTTAATCGCTTACTTAAATATGTAACTAACTAAGCAAACGGGCCCCGAGATAAGACGTTGATGTCAGAATGTCCGAAGTTCCTTATTTAAGAACATAATATACTGCACATATAATGCATAACACTCTCAACTCCTCACTTTCTGCAGATGACCAAATGGACGTTGAATCACTTTCAATTTGATGAATCACTTGTTCATTTGCCACTTAATTTTTTAGTGAAGTAAGTTTCTGTTCTCTGGAAATTAAGTCTAATTTATAGTGTTGTGTTTACCTGTAATTTAAGTATGTTTAAGCACAAGTTTATTATTTTATTTCAATGTTCCGTATGTAAATAAAAGTAAAGTAACAGCCTATACATGTCCGTCCCGTTGGGCAAAGGCTTCCTCTATACAGAGGGTATCAGGGCATAGTCCACCACGCGGCCCCACTGCGGATTGGCGGACTTCACATATCTTCGAAATTTTTGTTATTATTTCGAAAATATGCAGGTTTCCTGTTCGATGTTTTCCTTCACCGCGGAGCACGTGATAAGTATATATATTTTCCGTATGTATTTCGTTGTTAAGCCTAGTAAATAAATAGATAACACCCCAATGCTGCTGTGTGCTGTTTATATATCTAGAATATACATTTATAAAAAAAATAGTATGTTTCAGTTACCTAGTACAGAAAGTACAAGCTTTGCTAACGTGTAAAAATATGTCCTGAAATATTCATTAAAAGAAAATAGTAGCCATTACACTAAGGTTATATAGATAACAATGTTGATTTTAAAAAGCTCAACAGACGTTAATCTAAACGGCTTATAAGCCAAGTTTTATGTGTAACGTATGTTTGTATTTGATTAGACCTACTTATTTTTATTTACGATGAAATTTAAAATAGTAACGGCAGCACCTGACTGATATTCTTGGGTTTTTTAGTTCAAAGGTAGTTGAATATGTTATTGCCATCTATAATCGTCGAGAACCAAATAGGTGGTTACGTAGGGAAATGCTTACCATTGAATGTAAACCATTCTCGGATCGACCTGAAGATCCAATTTTTTTTTTTTGAAGATAGAATTTTTTTTATTAAAATCGGTCCAGCCGCTTAGAAGGGGTTCAGTGATATACAAACGTACAGAAGAATTAAAGATGACCGACTTCGCGAGAGATCAACTCTACTTATTAAATTTTTTTACATTTATTATTTCGCGTTAAATTTATTTCTTAAATCGTAGGTTTTCAAATTATTTTATCCTTTTTCAATTGCTTTTTAACCGTCTTAGGTTTTTTCAAAATTTTTAATTTTGATTTTTTAAATAAGATGTAATAAAGTTGAAACTGCGACATACAGCCAGGTCTAAGCAAAAAACACGTCTCGGTTTACATAAAGTGGTATGAAATCTCAACTCGTTGTGGTTTAATTGCGATTATTCGAAATGACAGTGATATTTTAATAACTAAAGACTGTACTAATTTTACTTTACATGTTATTATAACAAACCTAAATATAAAGATTTTTATATTGACGTTTTTAATGGCAGTAAAAGTTTATTTAAAGTTTTCATGGAATGTTATTATTTTCAATATAGTTTATTATAAGGTAATATCTTAATTATTCCACCTATATTATATTAATCCTATTATATTTCCTCATTATGCTTTTAGAGAGTTAATGTTATATTGTAATGTTAACAAAAAAACTTTTACTTAAGCGGATGACTCGATTGGTGGAGTTGTTAATCAAAGTTAAAGTTTGTGCTAATGGTGTGGTGGTGGTTTCGATTCCCACACAAAACGAGTATTTGTGTAACCTACAGATGGTTCTTAGGGATCTAGGCTGGCACACAACAATTACAAATTTGAGTTCGTAATAGGTCTTTGTTGTACTATGTTTAAAAAAAAATTAAACAGACCGAATACGTACACGGTTTACGTAACGTATTAATAATAAGGCATTGATTTATGACATAACTAGCGCCACGCCCCGGCTTCGCACAGGTGCAAAGTATTATACATATAAACCTTCCTCTTGAACCACTCGATCTAGTAAAAGAAACCGCATCAAGATCCCTTGCGTAGTTTTAAAGATCTAAGGATACATAGGACAAACAGACAGCGGGACTACTTTGTTTTATACTATGTAGTGAAGATATTCAAAGAACCGAACTAATACGAGCCCGTCCACAGTTTTAGATAACTTCTGTATCATAATAATTCTTAAATTTAAGCGAACACTACGCACTTACGTATTGAATGAAACTGTTTTTAAGTGACCATGAATGCTTTTAACTATTGATAAATTTGGGAATTATAGTTGAAAATAAACGCGACATGATTCGAAATAAGATTTTATTTTTATACAGCGTGTCGTTACCATCGCGACAATAAATGAACACACGACTAACGGTACTTACCCATAATCATAAAAAAATATTAACGTTAACATAATTATTTTTTTTTTTCAAACAAACTACTTAATTAGTAAAAAAGAAACAAAATTTGTAACATCCTATACAACGACAACTGACTGATTCATACATTCAGAGACTTTTTCATTCGTTGCCACAGTGTCGCATTACTAGCCTCTCCTTCTAACAGTATGTTTTGTCTCTTTTAAATTCATTCAATCCATTCATATGCTTTGTGACTTTTACAAATGAACGTTACGTTACAGTTTTATACGTAAGGTGTTCTAAAATTGTTTATTTTGGAAAATTTAATAAATCGGTAAATATTAATGTTTAAAGAATATAAATGTTTAATACAATTTTAAAAAGTTATCCTCTATAAGTGTGTTCATTTATTGTCGAGATTGTAAAGACACGCTGCATAAGAAGATGGTAAGGGAGCTAGGGAGGGAAGAAGGGCGGTTACGTGGTAACCTTCGCCCGGATATTTGCGTCACCCTTAGGGTTATAGAAGTGTTGCCAGCTTTTGATGAAGCGGGTGGCGGGCCCTACCTCAGTAAAAACAAGTCGAAAAAATATTTTCACTCGTCTTAGGATCATATGTGTCAGATGTTTGGACCCGTCGAAAGTGCTTAGCTTGCGCACTAAACATTTGTTACGCGTAGTGACACCGAGTGACGGCATCAGGG